AAAAAAAAAAATATTAAAAACGATTTCGGTTATGATAAAACAATTTAAAACTTAATAAACATACATATATCAAAGATTAAAAGATTTCGAAACTTATTTAAAAACTTGTGTTTTTTATGTAAACTTTAATAGAATTTAAAGATTTATTTTATTTAAGATAAATTTTTCAATTAGCAATTTATTTCACCGTGGTTAAAGAATTTTTTTAAAAAAAGTAATAAAAAATTACATACTATTTCAGAACCAAGTTCCGTGATTTCTTGTCAAGTTTGCTTTGGATACAAACAGGTTTCGCTGCTGTGCCCATCTTCAGTGTATTTTTCGAAAAAAAAAACTGATGATGGAGATTCATCTTCCCACTTTGTCGGAAAAATTAACCAACAAAAAAATAACACTTCCTTTAATGTTCTTAGTAATAAAGAAATCGAATAAAATATTGATACATGTACGTTTTTTAATAAACGAGTTTTAATATGAATTTTTTCGTAGAAAACTTTAATAGCATTTTTAATAAAACAATTTCATTAAGATGAAAAAGAGAATTTTGAAAATTTTTACTAAAAGGTTTTTCCAAACACATTTTTTGTATAGGTAAAGTTTTAACCAAAAACAAAAAAGTGATGCAAAATATTTCACCCTAAAAAGTTTTTAGTCAAAAATTAAAATTTATTGAACAAAAATTTTTAAGTCTCCTGATAACATTCCATATGCAACTACGATGTACCTAATTATCATTTTTTATATTAGTAGTAAACTTTACGATTTTTATCCTCCTGTTGATGGTTAACCATTAAAACTCTTGCTCTACTTACTACTACTTTTATTAAAACTACTAATATTCCTACACTTTGTCTATGCCTCTCTCTAACGTTGTTATATATTTTTGTTTATATCTTTTCCTCTTTTTTCCACTCTCTTCTAAACACAATTACTTACCACTGTTTTATGTTCGAAATGCTTAAAAATGCCAAAAACATATTCGTACATACCGAACACACCAAACATACCAACTTACAATTCTTACACTCGAACCTGTTCTGTTTTGTTTCGCATTGGTTACTCCAACTCTTTTTGATGAGCTTTTAATTTTTCTTCGATTTTCATTTTGTGTGTGTGTTTTTTTTTGTCTGCTTTTTTTGTTCTGTCTTTGTCTTCCTGTGTATGTATGTGTGTGTCTTTTAGCCATCTTCAACTACTACTACTCCTACTAACCAACCAAAGAATAAAGCAACAATGAAGTCAAAAACAACAATAAAGCGTGGCTCCACTTTTTCACCAATCGCCTCATCTTCTATTTCATCAACGTCATCGCCATCCGCTTCTGCAATCGCATCATCAGCATCATCATCTTCGTCTTCATCGGCGGCATTAAAAACGGCGCTCTTGAATGCTGCCACGGCTGCAGCAGCAGCAGCAACAGCAGCGGCTACCTCCTCTTCCTCGCCTACATCTTCGCCAACTCTGCTGCCATCATCGCCGGAGGCGACACTCCTCAGTCAACGCGATATCTTCAATAGGCGGCGGCGTAAAGTACGCATTAGCATACCGCGAATTGTGTTAATGGACGCAGAGACGGGTGTAGAAGCAACAACACCAACTGCAGGAGTGGGTGTGGGAGTGGGAGTGGGAGTGACAGTAGCAGCAGCGGCGGAAGAAAGTGTTTGCAACAATAACAATAATAACTACAACAATACTAATACACTAACAACTATAAATGATATTGCCACTACTAATACCAATACAACAACAACAAGCAATACTGATACCGCTGTTAGTAATGCAGCATTCTCTTCAACTACACCAACTATTGTTACTACTTCTACAATAACAAAAACAACAACAACAACTGCATGTACTATGACAATAATAAAAACTGCAACAATAATAACCACAACCAACTCAACAATAACAACAACAACAGCTGAATATGCTTTTAAAAAGGTTGAGCATAATACATACATACGTACTCGTACATATGTACATAAATAAACAGAGATTGTAGCGTAAAGAAAAACTACAAAAAAAAAATATATTTCATACATATTTTTACTGTTAAACAGTGTAGTTGCTGTAATTTGCTTCATCAAATCGTTCAGAAACATTTTAAATTATTTGTTGTTGCTATATTTATATAATTACCTGTACTTATTGATTAGCGCATGCGCTTAGATCTACATAGATTCATACATACATATATACATTGTTTTACAAGCATTTACTGTAGTTTAGCAGTAGTTGTGTTTATTAGACATGTTAAATATTTGCGGTTGTATTTAGTTCGAAAATCGTATTCATAGAGCTTGCGCCATTACAAATTTAAACAGTTGAAATAAGAAGTGGTACCTATTTCATTTTTAGTACATTCTTCATTACTCTTTTTCAAATTTAACCAAATCAGCCAATATTGCATACTCGAAATGAAGAGACAGTCAGTGTCAATTGTTAGTATACACCTTCTTCTGATATATTCACAATTATTTTCATCAGCAATTTTTTCATTAATTACACAGGCCAAATCAAATTTAAACAATGTTATTTTGACTAAAGTATTACAGCCGTTTCTTATAGGATTTTTCCCGTAGAATCCGAATCTGACCCTAAAGATATTAGATCGGCTCAAGTTTTCCAACGTATTCGCATACAAAAATTTCCAACTGCTTTCAGTGTTAGGACCCTAATTTTTTTTAATTTTGAGTAGATATAAAGTTCACATTTAAGAAAAAAAATCACAAAAATTTCAAAATTCTTATTCAGAATTTCGAGAAAATTTTTGAGTTTGCATTATCGTAGTCCGTTCAGTTTTAGTAAGTAAATTTCAAGTCGCTAAAACTTACCGTTGATTTTTTTTTTTTTTTGTGGAGGGTGTTGCTCATTTTCGTCCAAATAAAAATATATTTTGATCATGCTTTTCTGAATTAATTTTTTACATTTTTATGAAATTTTTTTGAATATCTTTGAACTTTATATACAGTGTGAAACTTTGATGTATGTATATTGTTGAGGTTATAGAATAAACTAAATAATCATAGATAATTAATGAAAAAAAAAATGACATCAAAATAAATATTAGTATATGTATTATACTAACATTTGACACTGACTGACGTACAGGAAAAAAGTTTGCCGTACACGCCTGCGTCTAAAGTATTTGGCAAGGCAATTTCGAAAAAAAAAANATTTCAATTCTTATCACCCTAATGTAGCACCCTAATGACAGTAAATTAAAGCTCCTCATAAATTATTGGCGAATGTAGGTGTCCCCGAAAAATGCAACACCTAGGCTCTGGTGGTTTTATTTAAGACCGAGATGATGGACAACAACAACAACTTTCCGATATCCCCTATAGTAGATCCTGATATATCTGATAGTTTTGTTTGTATGTATCTTCCGAATGCTTTATGCCTAACATCCGCTAGAGCTGTGCATTCACAAGGAAAATCCTGGACACTTTCTTCGCTACCTTCTAGTTTATAGCCACAAGTTCTATTATATGGGAGCCACATTCTCTCTGCTGCATGTTTGTCTATGGGCTACAATTCTAAATACTTCTGCCCTTGGTCTGTTAACCAGGCCTAGTGTCTTCGTTCTGTTATAGAGGCCTGGCTATTATCTTTGAACTACTCCGAGGGGGCACTGCAGTGCAACAGCCTCGGTTTCCTCCAACTAGGTTCCTGCCTTCGTCAATTCATCGGCATTCTCATTTCCTTCAATGTTCCTATGGCCGGGAATCCTGACAAGAGAGACGCTTATTGACGCAGACGAGAGGGTAGCGAACTAAAAAATCGTCAAGGAAATGTTTGACACCTGCAGGAAATGTTTGACACCTGCAATACATCTCGTTGGTCTTTTGCAATGGCGGCCGCTGTGGGGTACTGGTTGGCAGCGCGCGCTACCGTTCCGCAGGGCCTGGGTTCAATACCGGTTCAACCCAACATCAAAAAATAAAAAAACAAAATTTTTTTTTTCTAATAGCGGGCGCCCCTCGGCAGGCAATGGGCAAACCTCCGAGTGTATTTCTGCTGTGAAAAACAGCTGCTCATAAAAATACAATCTTCGTTCGGAGTCGGCTTAAAACTGTAGGTCCCTCCCCTTTCTATGACAACATCAGATGCTCGGCCAAACAAAAACATACATATGTGGGAGCGCCAATCTATTATTATTATTATTATCGATATGTACATACAGTTATGTGAAAAATAATAGGGACACGAAATTTTGACCAGTTTTGACAATTTTCCTTCTGTTCGTTTAATGTTTATTATATTTTTATAAAAGTGCATCTCAATGTCTAACAAAAACCACATCTAAGTCTAAATTTCAAACTGTGTAGAAAAATTTTGAAAAATTTTACAACGAACTTTTTATTAGGAATTTTTAGAAAAATTCCAAGCATGCAGTTTTATAGCCCATTAGGTTCTAGTTTAATAAAGTGCAAGTTTCAAGTGGTTAAGAATTCGCGTTGAGTTTTGATAATTTTTATTGCCAATGTTATTATTTTCTTCCAACCAAATAAAATTTGTTGACCATAAAAAAAAATCAAATGCATTAGCCAACAATAAAAAATATAACCAAAACTGGTCAAAGTGTCGTGCCCCTATTATTTTCCACATGACTGTACCTCTGTCCTATAACTACAATTATTTTTGTTTTTTATAAAAAAAAAGCTTACAACAATAACAGTTGTTATATTACGCAGCGCTAGATGCATACATACATACATATATAAAGTTTTATTTGATAAAAATTTCTGCCTTCGATATTTTTTTGAATCATCAATCGAAAATAAAAATACATTTTTATCAAAGTGTTAGAAAAAAACTTCACTCAACTTAGTATTTACTTTTCAATTTCTGTTTGTAAATAAATAATAATATAAGAAGGCAAAACAATCGATTATTGTTAGCTAAAAAATACTAAACAATTTAGCATTTAGACTTGAATAGGTAGCAACAGCCAGACTACG